TCATGATCAAATTCAACTTGTGCAAAACTATCTCTATTGCAGAATTTAAAAAAGATTTTTTGGAAAAAGACGACGACCTTCTTCGAGAGATAAGATCTAACTCGAAGTTCGACGTTTCGGCAAAAAGGCAACAATATAATAAGTTTTCAGAGTTTGTAAAAAAAGAGTTATCTGAACTGTACCTTCCTTTTGAAATTGTATTTGAAAACGATGATAATGCTGTTTATCTAAATTAATGTATACTTTTTTAAAAACTTTGAACAATAAAAAACTTTTAAATAATCAGTTTATTAAAACGTCCGCCAGATGGTAGTTAGCGTCACTCGCACATTTGAGTGAGACACCGCAGCGGCAGCAAACAGACTGCACAAGCGGCGGTCCCTTCACAAATGTGATTCTTCCCCAGGGAAGAAAAAACATATGTCTCTGGCAGCACTGCCCAACAGCTGTCAGCTGTTGATGTTTGTTCGGCTGCAGCGGCAGATTTCGTCATTTTTTTTGTTTCTAAATCTTCGGCTTCAAATGGCCACGGACACCTTCAAGCGAATCGCCTACCTCCACCAGGTGCAAAGTTTGATCAATGACATCAGCGAGGAGAAGAAGCAAAAGGAACCAAAGACATTAGAATCAGCAGCAGCCAAAGCGAAAAATGAGCCTTCCTCGCCAAAGCTGCCGCTGGTCAAGCTGAACGCCTTCTTCGGCTTCCTCTCCAAGGAGATCGCCATGAAGCACAATGTGCAGATGTAATCTATCCTTTCTATTATCAGTGTTTCCTTTTGCTCTAATTTTCCATTTTTACAGCCTCAACAGCGATGAGATGCGCCAGTTTCGCTGCAAGCGCTGCTTTGCCCAGTACAACTTTCACGCCGGAAACGAAGGGCAGCTAAAAAGGCTGTGTAAAAAGCGAACCGGCGCTGATGCAGCTACCAAGTCCTGTCTGGAACTGACCTGTCCGCACTGTGGCTTCCTGCGAAAGGTCATCTTCAAAGTCGCCTTCAAGACCAAGTACGAGCGAGTGCTCGCCGGACTGCCGCCGCTCAATGCTGAGGAGTTGAAGAAGGGCAAAAAGAAGAAAAAGAGGAGAATGAATAAAAAGAAAAGTAGGCGCTGATAACCTGATCATCAGAGAGTGTCATCCTGTGTAAAAAGACAGAGCTGTCCATATCAGATTTTCAGACCCAAAATCAAAACCATTTTGTTTATTTGTACAAATCACATTTTTTGCTCTGGGTGGTCACAAACTCTAAAGAGAGCCCACTTTTTCGTTTTCGGACACTTGCTCTTTTGGCGAGTTGTCCTTAGGAGAGAAAGTTGAAAGGCCGCTGCTGTGTGTAGCCGCTGTGATGCTCTGGTAGCAGAAGAGAATAGAAACTGACAATTCTGGTTGCCCGGCACCACAAAGGAAAAGAATCACAGAATCCAAGGATTCACTTTAATCTCAACAAACAGTGGTCATCTGAAGAATAAGAATCATCAAAATTTTTAGCCGGCACTAGCACAATCATCATCAGCAGNATTCTGGTTGCCCGGCACCACAAAGGAAAAGAATCACAGAATCCAAGGATTCACTTTAATCTCAACAAACAGTGGTCATCTGAAGAATAAGAATCATCAAAATTTTTAGCCGGCACTAGCACAATCATCATCATCAGCAGCAGCAAAAGCAGAATCCAACAACACAACAATGGCCGATTACCTAGCCTCCATCTTTGGCACTGAAAAGGACAAGTAAGACCTTGTGGACCTTTTGTGTGATAAAATGTGATGCTAATGTTCATCGTTTTCACCAGGGTCAACTGCTCCTTCTACTTCAAGATCGGCGCCTGTCGACACGGCGAACGCTGCTCTCGCATCCACAATAAGCCGACCTTCAGTCAGACCATTCTCCTGCAGAATCTCTATCAGAATCCGCAGAATGTAACGCAGTCGTCGGATCCACTGGGAAAAGGTACATTTAGTTGAGTTTTGTTTCCTCCTTTCATTTTAATCCTCTTTTAGAAATGACCATCCAGCGGGTGAAGACGATGAGCGACGAGGACGCACAGGAGCACTTTGACGACTTCTTCGAGGACGTCTTCATCGAGCTGGAGGACAAGTACGGCGAGATTGAGGAGATGAACGTCTGCGACAACCTCGGGGACCACCTCGTGGGCAATGTCTACGTCAAGGTACTGATCATCTTTTGTTCTATGTATTGAAACCCAAGTTCTAAAATCTCTCTCCCTCTCTTCTCTAGTTTCGCCGCGAAGAGGACGCCGAGCGGGCGGTGGCCGAGCTAAG